TATTTATTCATTCATTTATTTATTTACTCATTCATTCATTCATTTGGTTTTTTGAGACAGGGTTTTTCTGTGTAACAGCCCTTAGCTGTCCTGGAACTAGCTCTGTAGATCAGGTTGACCTTAAACTCACAGAGATCCACCAGCCTCTGCATCCCAAGTGATGGGATTAAAGGTATGTGCCTCCACTGCCTGGCCTGTTAGCATTAATTTAACCATTTTATTTAGGACATCATTGGAATACACGCTAAGCAAGACATAAGAGTAAGATTGTTTGACCTCATAATCAAAATGAAGTATAATGGAAATAAGACAAGACAGAACATTACACTACTATATAATAAAGTACTAGATTCATAAACACAGTAACTGTTACAACTTAAGATGGGTATAATCACAAGGAGAGGCACATGGAGTGGTTCATAAAAGCTATTTGTGCCGGGCGGTGGTGGCGCACGCCTTTAATCCCAGCACTCGGGAGGCAGAGGCAGGCGGATCTCTGTGAGTTTGAGGCCAGCCTGGTCTACAAGAGCTAGTTCCAGGACAGGAACCAAAAGCTACGGAGAAACCCTGTCTCGAAAAATCAAAAAAAAAAAAATAAACAAAAAGCTATTTGTGTGGGACTGCAAAAGGCGATGATGATTGCTCTGAACAGAAATCACTCACGCCACCTCCCCTTGAGGGAGAACTGAAAAGCATCCCATGAATGCCACGACAGCAGGCACCATGTGTGCAAATGAGCTTGAAGAAAGAGGAGGGGAGGCAGGAACACATGGGAACACACTGGTGTAACAGTAGGTACTCTGCTGACAGTCCTTTGAAAGCTTTGTACGGTTTATCCTGGCACTTGGGAGGCAGAGGCAGGCGGATCTCTGTGAGTTCGAGGCCAGCCTGGTCTACAAGAGCTAGTCCAGGACACGCTCCAAAGCTACAGAGAAACCCTGTCTTGGGAAAAAAAAGAAAGAAATGGTGATCCTTCCTCCAAAATCTCAGAATGAGACTGTGCCTGAGAGTGTTTCCTCTCTAGGGCTGGGATGAAAGGCATGCACTGCCCGGTTTCTATAGCAACTAGTATGGCTACAAGGATTAAAGATGTGTGTTACCACTGCCTGGCCTGTAAGGTTGACCAGTGGGGCTGTCTTACTCTCTGATCTTCAGGCAAGCTTAATCTATTAAAATACAAATGAAATACCACTATAAGCCGGGGCCACATAAAGAATTCCAATCTCAAAAAACAAAACAAAAAGGCAAAACTGTTTAGGGAAAGCTCCATTTCTTCCTCTCTCAGAGAATCTCCAACAAAGAAAAACTGGGGGCTGGAGAGATGGCTCAGCAGTTAAGAGCACTTGACTGCTCTTCTCAAGGACCATGGTTCAATTCCCAGTACCCACATGGTAGCTCACAACTGTCTGAAAATCCAGTTCCAGGGGATCTGACACCTTCACACCAATGCACATAAAAAAAAGTTAAATAAACCATAAAAAAATTTAAAAAAATATTAAAAAAAAACTGTGAAAACGTCCAGTTGTGCATTCTTGCTGGCTGTGGAATCTCTTCCCCTGAAGTTGCCAGAGACCCAGCCTATGGAGGATATGCTGTCACCCTTCAACTACAGGGTACAGAAGCACCCTCCTTTAGTTCGGGCCATGTTTTCTCTTGCCCCTTCTTTAGCCTTGATCTCTGGGGGCTGGAGGACTCACCCAGGAGTTGCATTCCTCAAAGTAAACCTTTTCTTTTTCAATTTGGCTGGATCTGGCTTACTGTGTTGGTGGAGAAACCTATTATCAGGGTACAGAAAACCCATTATCTTGACACTGGAAACCCAGGAAGACTTGAGCTTCCTGCCAGTTAATCGGCCACGGGGGTGGGGGTGGGGGTGGGGTGGTACTTCTCACCCTTTATCTTCGACTGAATCAAATTTTGATACCCAGTTCCAAGTCACCGCCTGCAGGAGACCCCAAGAGTCTGACTCAGAAGAGGTCTTGACCTGGAAGAGGTACCTTGCAGTCAGTCTTAACCTCCCCCACCCCCAACTCAGATTTTATTTCATCAGCTCATTAATGGTCAAAATCGACGACCTCAATTTCCACATTCTCACAGACTGTTACTACCATCTACTGCCACAAATGATGTCCAAATATTTTATACCTGACTGTATGCTTTGTCCTTTTCCTCTAAGGCTCTACTTCCTGACTCCTAAAAATCTTTTTTTCCCCTATGATTTCTTTGTATGTCGCTCTATATTTTAAGATTATACTGTAAACTCTTTTCTTTCTTTTCTTTTGGTTTTTCAAGACAGGGTTTCTTTGTGTTGCCCTGGCTTTCCTGAAACTCACTCTGTAGACCACACTGGCCTAGAACTCAAGAGATCCATCTGCCTCTGCCTTACAAGTGCTGGGATTAAAGGTGTGCGCCACCATTGCCTGGCTCTACACTGTAGACTGTAAACTATTGTTTCAGGATTTGTAAATTGTTCATCTGGCATGGTTTAAAATCTATGTAATTTATAACAAAGTCTGTTTCCATGGAAAGCTTTGTTTGTCTGTCAGAGACCAGCCTTGACAAAAAATACCTCTTGCCAGGGTAGAGGTGTGGGGATTTAGAAAATTTAAGTAAAGAATATGAAGATGGGGCTGGAGAGATGGCTCAGTGGTTAAGAGCATTGCCTGCTCTTCCAAAGGTCCTGAGTTCAATTCCCAGCAACCACATGGTGGCTCACAACCATCTGTAAAGAGGTCTGGCGCCCTCTCCTGACCTTCAGGCATACACACAGAATATTGTATACATAATAAATAAATAAATATTTTTTAAAAAAAATGAAGATACAAAAGAAAATAATAAAACGAAGAAACATATAGGAATAGTATCGGGAGGGAATTCCAGTGAGTACTGAAATTCACCTGTGTTTAATTTCCAACTGCTTAAAATACCCAACCCCAAAAGATAAGAATAAAACAAAAAACTACATTAATATAATACAAGGAAATGAACAGACCAACTGAGGTTGCAGGCTACATTCACAGTTAAACATTCTATTGCTACAACAAAACAAGTCACACTCATTCTCTAGACCAAAAACACTCTGTGGGCAAACCACTCCCTGGATGGAATCCAAAGTTATGTTCTTAAGGGAACCAACTAGAACTTAGTTGGATCCTTAGACTGTTGTTTGAGTATGAACATCTCTATTCCTGGAGTACAAGGCCTGGCTACAAGCCACATCTGTTGACCTTGAGAGCAGAACTAGGTAAGGACCTTTGATTGAGGTAGAAACACAATAACCTTGAAGGACTAGAGGTAAGTTCCAACTCTCTGACCTTTGGTCAGCGTGGACACAGGCTCACATTTGTCTGTTAGAAAAGTTCTATTTTGTATGTATGTATGAATCCGTGCCTGTATGTTTTCTTGTGGACACGGCAGCTACACAGGCTACTTGGGGATCCGCAGTGTTTTATTTTTACCATAACAGCTGCTGCATGTCTGTTTCTGCCTGAGTTTACTATGTTCCCTAAAAAGTTGAGATATCACATTTTCTCAAGTTGTTTTATGCATTTTGTTGTTGTTTTGAGACTGGGTCTCTTTAACAAAGCCTGTCCTGGAACTCACTCTCAGAGAACAAACTCAGAGATCCACATGCCTCTGCCTCCCAAGATTAAAGGCATGGGCCACTTGAGTACAGTCAGTACTTTCTGCATTCTGTATAATCAAGCTTGTTATTTAGTTTTTGAGACAGGGTCTTCCCCTGTAGTCTAGGCTTGCCTGAAACCTCTCTTTTAGTCTTCCTATCTCAGCCTTCTATGTTGGGATTACAGGCATGAACTACCCTACCCATTTTGTATGCCATTACAACTGAAAATTAATACTTTTATTCAATACGGCTATCAGTAGAGGTTAAAACTACCTGGTACAAAGTAAACATTATATACTGAATACACAAATGCACAGCTTCCAAGAGCTTTATTCATGCTTTTCTTTTTCCTTCTAGAACAGACTCACAGTACACAGCATGGTGCATGGCTTTTACTGTGATTTTATAATAGCCATTTAGTAGGCACAGACCCTATCTCAAATGACTCACTGCTGGCAGAAAAGCTTGACTAGTAGGCTACTAAGTCCAGCAAGTTTTCTATGAGACCACAGCCCAGGGCTGTCACATAACTAGTTTATTCATCTGGTGTATATTCCATCATAGTTTTAATTATAACCAAATTACTTATTTTTTATCTTCATTGAATGTGTCTTTTGACTACAATAAATATCTCAACTGCTTGAATACCCCCCGCACAAAGCTTTCTAAGTCTTTATTTTTCTAAATTAAAACATAGAAGCTGGTATGGTGTTACACGCCTTTCTCAGTACAGGGAAGGCAGCAGTAGGATCTCTGAGTTTGAGGTCAGCCTGATCTACAGAGGAAGTAGTTCCAGGATAGCCAGGCAGGGCTACACAGAGAAATCCTGTCCAAAAAACAAACAAACGAACAAAAAAACCAACCAAAACCAGAAGAACCGAGCAATAATTGAGGCTCAGTAATCTAGAAGTCAGAACATATAAGAGGGATGCTGTGGAACACAACCCAAACCAAACCAACCAATCAACCAAACCCAGAAGAACTAAGCAATAATTAAGGCTCAGTAATCTGGAAGTCAGAACAAGAGGGATGCTGTGGCCATCGGCACAGATCGCACAGGAAGATATGGGAGAAAGATAAGAGGTGTTCCAGCCCAGAGTGACTTTGGAGAAATCACATTCGGAAGATTCAATCCCTATCTCTACTCCAGTATGACACCATAATGCAGCTCTGACATATGCTTGTTCCTCTGTTGTCACATAATCAGAACCCTCAAGTCCTTCAGCAGTGGCCCCCAGCACTAACATTACCTTCAATGTAAAAATGTGCCTATTTGCGGTCACTTCTACCACCAGCTGCAGCAACAGAGCTTGAGCTGCAAAGAAAACACAGTGCTTACTATCAAGGGTGTTTGTGTCTAATACTCTGTCAAACCATGGTGGACTACTATGAAGTTCTAGGAGTACAGAGATATGCGTCACTGGAGGACATTAAAAGAGCTTACCGTAAAGTGGCACTTAAATGGCATCCTGATAAAAATCCAGAAAATAAAGAAGAAGCAGAGCGAAAATTCAGAGAAGTCGCCGAGGCATATGAAGTACTATCAAATGGTGAAAAACGGAATATTTATGACAAATATGGCAAAGAAGGATTAAATGGCAGAGGTGGAAGTCATCTTGATGATGAATATGAGCATGGTTTCACATTCCGTAAGGCAGATGATGTCTTCAAAGAGATTTTTGGTGAAAGGGACCCATTTTCATTTCACTTCTTTGAAGACTCACTTGAGGACCTTTTGAGCAGTTCGAGAAGCTCTAGTGGAAGCAGAAGCAGAGGCACCGGATCCCTTTTCTCTTGTTCGTATGACCACCCAGTGTTTGCCAAGCTTTCTTCTTATGACACAGGATATACGTCTTACGTTTCACTGGGGCACGAGGGCCTTACTTCATTCTCTTCCCTGGCATTTGATGACACTGGGATGGGCAATTACATACCCATCACACCTTCAGGCAGAATTGTTAATGGAAGGAATATCAATACAAAGAAAACCTTTGAGAACTATCAAGAAAGAGAAGCTGAGGATGATGGTGAGTTGAAATCCTTTCTAAATAGTGTGGCAGATGAAGAGGGTTTTGCAGAAAAACGACACTGGAGAAGACAGTCGCTCAACAACTATTCACCAAACTCCTACAGCCCCCCAAACATATCTCAATATACCATTGTGGACAACAATGAACAAGGTACACCTTGGGTCACCAACAAGAAGGAGCCTTCCATTTTCTCAGCAGGATTCAAAGAAGGTGGTAGGAGAAAAAAGAAGAAGCACAAAGAGGGGCAGAAGAAGAAGTCAAACAAAAGGAATCACTAATTGCCTCTTCAGACACATTATGATCATATAACATTTAAACACCACTCTTTTGTGTGTTTTGGTTAATCACAGAGTTTCATAGATAATATTTGTTAATACTATGTAAGAGTAGGTGGGGGTCTTTTTGTTTTGTTTTGTTTTTGTGTGCTTTTGAGACAGGGTCTCAACTATGTACCCTAGGCTGGCCTGGAACTTGCTACAGAGACAAGGATGGCTTCAAACTCACAGAGATCTGCCCATTTTGCCTCTCAGTTGCTGAGATTGAAGGTGTACACTACCATACCTGGCTTAAAATTATTTTTTACAGGATTACGGACATTTGGTCAGTAGTTATGTGAATAAGTTATGTCAGAAAAGGATGAATTTGTGGGAACAGTTATTTTAAAACTATGAGAAACTACAAAGATTTTTAATGTTTTACTTTTGAGCTTTTTGAGCATTTTTCCCAAGAGTTTATGACCCATTTAATTCCTTTAATACCATCACAAATTCCTGGTAAATGTACATTAGGAGATAAAAGTCTATTAAGGATTATAGGTTCAGATTCTAGCAGTATTTTCTTTTAAGTTTGAAGTAATCAGTCATATCTGCACAGATGTTCACAGCAGCTCTGCTTACAGTAGCCAAGAGGTAAGAGCAACCCAAATGCTCATTAAGGACCTAAGATATTAACAAAAATTAATAAATAGTCACACTTATGAGCATATGCATGCCTACGAGCATGTGCGCGCGCGCGCGCACACACACACACACACACAGACACGCAGTCTCCTGAGATAGTCCCTTCCTCTGAATTTTTGAAATATTAAAATCTTAAGATGCTAAGTGAAATAAGCCAGTCACCCATAAACAAATACTAAAAAGTAAATGTTACACAGTATCTAAAGCAGTCTAATTGAGATAGGAAGTGGGGAATAAGCTGTTTTGTGGGTACAGAGCTTTAGATCTGCAAAATAAAAACATTCTGGAACCTCACTTCTCAACAATGTGAATATATTAATATCAATGAACTGCACATTAAAAATGTCTAACACGGTAAACTAAATTTAGTGTGTATTATACTACAAGGATTACCCACAATTCCTTGGAATAAACATGGCTGTATCATGAGCTACAGGTCACCAGTCACTCTCTCCAGATAAGAAATGTTTTAGTTTTATTGTGTCTGTATGTAGGATCTACAAATGCTTTACTATAAAACAGCTACAGCTAATTCATTTGAGGATCATGTCGGGAGAAAAAATGGTAAATTACAAATGTATTAGGTACCAAACAAATGGTTTGAGCTGAATATTTAAATTTGTTTCTTTTAAAAATAAATTAACGGGGGTGGGGGGGCTGGAGAGATGGCTCAGAGGTTAAGGGCAATGGCTGCTCTTTCCAGAGGTCCTGAGTTCAATTTACAGCAACCACATGGCTCACAACCATCTGTAATGAGATCTGGTGTCCTCTTCTAGCGTGCGGGCATACATGGAGGCAGAATGTTGTATACATAATAAATAAATAAATCTTAAAAAAACAAAAGAAAACCAAAAAAAAAAAACAAAGAAAAAAAATAAATTAACTTGGGGCTGAAGAGATGACTCAGTGGTTAAAACCACTGGATGCTCTTAAAGAGGACCTGGCTTCAACTCCCAGCACCTGCATGGCAGATCACACCCGTCTGTAACTCCAGCTCCAGTTCTGACACCTTCACACAGATAAAATAATATGCACATAAAATAAAAAAAAACCCTTTTACTTTAACCCTGTCATGTCTTAGCTTTCTGTAACGCTTCCATCTTCATGACGCTTCTCCACATTTTATCCATCCTCTCAGCCACTGAACACTGAGCGTTACGATTTGAGGCCTACTGCCTGTTGAGTGAGCAGAGTAAGGGATCTGAGGAACACACAGCACTATGCAAACAAAAGCCACTGAGTCTACAAACTGGAGACATATCTAAGTAAAACAGGATTTGCTAGGTTTTTTTAGTTGCTTGATTAAAGAGATGGAGCAAAGACATTTTGGAGTATAGAATTATAATTTTTCCATGTGGCTATTTGATGAAACAATTCCAGACATTGGACTTGCAAGGTGTAACATTCCTGCTGTAGGTTGCATGGGAGGAGTTTGAGGAGCACTAAGACCAGTGCTGCAGGTTAAGGATAGCAAATAGACGAAGCCAAAGACCTGAAAGAAAGCAGATTCTCCAGGAGCTGCTTGGTTCACAAGCATGTTAACTACTGCATGGGAGGAAGTAAGCCGCAGGAGGCTCTGAGGAGAGGAATCACATATTCAAATTGGACTCCTTTGCAGTTGCCAAAAGACTCAAGCAAGGGTAGAAAAAGAGAAATTAAAATATTGCCACAGTTTGGTCCAAGGTGGTGGGAATGGGGTCTGTGTGACTTAAAAGTGATAGCATTAGGATATACTAAAAAGGTAGAACGAACAGGTTATGCTGACAGGGTATGACAGAAGTTGAGACCAACAGGTTTTGGAACACAGGAAACAGCAGCGCAGGGGCTAAGTTTTGGCTATGTTACACAAGGGACGCTAGACTTTATTAAGCATGAAAAGAATTTGCTGCATGACTTGTGTTTACATAATCTGTCATTAACTTCTTCCTTTATTACATTACTGGCCATATATATATCCTTTTTTCTTTTGTATTTTAGAAATGTAATTATTGTCAATTCTAGGCATTATCAAGCTTCTAGTCCCAAATTCTTAAAAATTACAGTATTAAAGGGTGCAAACAAATCATCCAGCAACACTGACACCTATCACCTTTGTTCAAACACTAAACTGAAAGCCAGAAACATCTTCCTTCCTTTCCTTCCTTCCTTCCTTCTTTCCTTCCCAATCTGTTTTTCAAGGCAGGTTTCTCTGTCTGTTTACCTACCTACCTACCTACCTGCTTTTCAAGACAGGTTTCTCTGGTTGTTCTAGACCAGGCTGGCCTCAGCCTTGAATCAAGAGATCACCTGTTTTTGCCTCCAAAGTGCTGGGATTAAAAAAAAAAAAAGGTGTGTGTCACCACCGTCGGTATAACTACTATTTTTAAATAATTCCCATAGCAAATGTAAACTTTTGCTTAGTATTGTCTGATTCTCAGTGGGGAGGAAAGGTAATTTATCCTTTAGGAGAAACTGGGGACAATTAGCATCCAAAGTTATTTTCAGAAAATCATAAAAGCTTAGACTATTTTAAATGCCATTAACATAAAATGTGTCACTTAGATTAACCTGTCTCCCTGAAGGAGTAAGGTTGGAAATAAGAAAATCCATTTCCAGAACCAAAACCCAACATCTCAAAAACAGCAAGACTGTAATGATATGTCCTCCAATTCATCTCTCCTTTTTTTGAGCTGGATTTCATGTAGCTCAGGCTGGCCTTGAACTTGCTAAGAAGCCAAGGATGAACATGAACTTCTGATCCTCCTGCCTCTATCTCCCAAGTGCTAAAATTACAGGAATGTGCTACCACATCTGGCCATTTATCCACTTTTAGCTAAAAATTTAGATTCAATTATCTTTCTCAATGCTTAAATTAAAAAAAAAAATAGCTAGCTGACTGGAGGTGGTAGCACACACCTTTAATCCCAGCACTTGGGAGGCAGAGGCAAGACGGATGCTGGTTAGACTCATGTCGTTAGCCACAGTCAAGTGGCGATACACATTAATGGAAATGGGTTAAACTAATATGTGAGAGTTAGCCAATAAGAGGCTAGAGATAATGAGCCAGGCAATGTTTAAATGAATACAGTTTCTGTGTGATTATTTCGGGTGTAAGCTAGCCGGGCGGCCGAGACCAAAAGCAGGCCCTCTCTCTTCACAACAGAGTGGTGCCCAACGTGGTAAACTGACTCTGCGTAAAATCCGAGAGAGCTTCAAAAAGCATACAGAGTTTAACACAGCTTCTTGCTGTTTGCTGGTGGCTTGCCGCAGCTGCTTTAAGAGATTTTCCTGATTCAGCTGTAGCAAAAACAAAAAACAACAACAAAAGCCTTGCCATTTTAGAACAAAGCTTCCTGGGCCCTGCCGCCGGTGCAAACTCCGACTATGGAGCACTTGTGGGCCCGGATGTTTGTGTGCCCACTCCGGGTTGGGAACAAAGTACCCGAGACCATGCCTGTGGCTTGACGCTCCCTGCCTGGGCAGAATGTTAGCCAATAAGAGGCTAGAGATAATGGGCCAGGCAGTGTTTAAATGAATACAATTTCTGTGTGATTATTTTGGGTTTCTCTGTGCTTTTGGAGCCTGTCCTGCAACTAGCTCTTGTAGACCAGACTGGTCTCGAACTCACAGAGATCCGCCTGCCTCTGCCTCTTGAGTGCTGGGATTAAAGGCGTGCACCACCACCACCACCCGGCTGTGTGATTATATTGGGTGTAAGCTAGCCGGGCAGGATGGAACAAGGGGCCCCACTCCCTTCAACACAAAAAGTTGGGCAGTAGTAGCACCTGACTTTAATCCCAGCACTTGGGAGGCAGCGGCAGGCTGATCTTTGTTGAGTTTGAGGCCAGCCTGGTCTATAAAGTGAGTTCCAGGACAGCCAGGACTATCTCACAGAGAAGCCCTATCTCAGGGGGGAAAACGTTCCCCTACTCTCCAGGCTGGTATTGAACTCAGATCCACTTACTCCTGCTTTCCCAGTACTGGGAAGTATGCACCACAATACACAGCTCTCATTGTTTCTTGATAGAATCTACAAGGTCTTCACTGAGCCAAAGTCCAGTTTTTTCTAATATGTCCAGGAATTACAGTCCAAGTCTTATTACAAGATAAATAGATTTTGTCAATCACTGCTAATTACATCTTCCTTTTAGAATTTAAGATTAACTGGGAGTGTACAGATTGCAGCTTATGCATTAGACCAAATAGTCATTTTGATATAAATACCTTAAAATGATATAAATACCTTGAAAATACTTCAAAACATTACCATCCATATAAAATGAAAACACTTCCGGGTTCTAGGGCCATGCATATGTGGACAGGCCCTCAGGCAGAAGTGC